TTTTATATTTATTTTTTAGCTGTGGTTGGACACAATACCTTTATTTATTTATTTATTCGTATGTGGTGCTGAGGATCGAACCCAGGGCCTCGCACGAGCTAAGCGAGCGCTCTACCACTGAGCACTGAGCCCCAGCCCCAGCCCCTCGTTCATCATTTGATGGGCATATGAGTCACTTCATATTTGTGTCCCTGTATTCAAAACCTTTGTGGCTAAATCCGTGCCATGTCGGGATAATCCAACCGAATGAAACTACGATGGAATGACTAAGTCGGAGGGACAGACAGAAGTCGATCCACAGTGGGAACGCCCAGCAACCTTGGTCCTGTCCCGCACCGAGGGACCCAGCGAGACCAACAGAGCTCCGCCGCTCTCTCTGCTCTTTCCCCTGGTCAGCACCGACAGCTGGCCGCGGTCTCCCCCAGGTTCCCACCTTGCAGATCCGCGACTGGCGCTCCTGGCGGCAGGGGGCGCGCGAACCCGGCGGCCTCCCGAGCTCGGCAGGACCCAGCGGCGCAGCTGCCAGGGGACCGTGGGCCGCGCCGCATCTATCCAGGCCCTTTGACGATACAGAGCCAGCTCTAAAGGAGTGCTGTCTCCCCTTCGGTCATTTCTACAGGTGGGGACTATGTTCCTCCCCCGCGTAGGACACAGCGACAAGGCAGCATCTTGGAAGCAGAGAGCAGCCCTCATCTGACACACGTCCAGAAACTGAGCTTGAACATCCCAGCGTCCAGACCTTGAGAAACAAATTTCTGTCATTTATAAATTGTTCAGTCTGTGTTACTGTTAGAGCAGCATAGACAGACTGAGACAAAGTAAGCATGATATTCCCACCACAGGAAGAAGCTAGGATTAATCAGAATCAAAACCAAAAAATAAACAAACGAAATGAAATAAAATATTTAAATGAGTAAAAAAAAAAAAAGATGAACCACCAATAGAAAAATGGAGGGGCCAGCAGTCCTCTATGCTTGGTCTGGTAGTTGCTGAAACCTCGATCCAGTGCCGATCCAATAATGAAGACACGGGTTTGAGAAAATGGAAAAAGAGAGTTTATTGCTTTGCTAGCAAAGGAGAAACACAGGGGATTCCTGTCTCAGAGGCTGCTGTGATTCTGCCCATCAGCAGGAACAGGGGGGCTTTTAAAGAGGTGACTCAAAGGCTACATTCCACGTGTTCTCTGCTGGAGGTGTGATTCACTTGTTAATTTGGGAGATAGTCATTTCTGAGGTCTTCTGGTGCCATCCCCAAAGTCTGGGTTACTTTGTTCCTATGGTGGGTGTGTGCTCAGGGACAGATAACTGCCTAGGATGGAGAAGAAAGGTGACCCTGTTTCTCCAGAGATTAGGAAGGGGGAGAGATTAGGGGAAGAGAAAGAAACATGTCCATTTAAAAAATAAGTTGCAAGGGGCCTGGAGTTGTGGCTCAGTGGTAGTGTGCTTGCCTAGCATTCATGAGGCACTGGATTCAATTCTCAGCACCACATACAGATAAATAAAATAAAGGCCCATCAACAACTAAAAAATATTTTTTACATATTTATTTTTTATTTGTACCCAATACATTTATTTTGTTTATTTATTTTTATGTGGTGCTGAGGATCCAACCCAGGGCCTTAGCACATGGTAGGCGAGCGCTGTACAGCTGAGCTACAACCCCAGCCCCCCCCCCCAAAAAAAAAAAAGTTGCAGGGCTGGGGCTGTAGCTCAGTGGCAATGTGCTTGCCTAGCACATGTGAAGCACTGAGTTTGATCCTTAGCACCGCATAAAAGTAAATAAATGTATATTTTTTAAAAAGTTGCAGTAGCAGAGCAGCAAGGATTATATTCAAAGCATAAAGTGGACCACTGTTACACGGTGACTCCTGGTGTTCTGTTTCATGGTGACTTCTGGGATGACTCCCAAGAACCTTTCAAGAGGTTCCAGAGTATTTTTTAAAAATATTTACTTTTTAGTTGTAGTTGGACACAATACCCTTATTACATTTATTTTTATGCGGTGCTGAGGATCGAAACCAGGGTATCAGACGTGCTAGGCAAACGCTCTACTACTGAGCCACAACCCCAGCCCCCCCACCACCTCTTCCAGATTATTTTCATAGGAATACTGAGAAGTCTTTTGATATCTGTGCTGATGATGCAAAAACAATATAGCTCTTAGTTTGAATCAAGGTGATGATATCAAATTGCACTGTTTTCTTTACCACACACTAGCGGCGGAAAAGCCACTCTGTTTAAGAACTTTTTGAAGCTAGCAAGGTGCACCTGTAATCCCAGAAGCTTAGGAAGCTGAGACAGGAGGATCACAAATTCAAAGCCAATCTCCTCAGCAAAAGCGAGGCACTAAGCAACTCAATGAGACCAATAAAATACAAAACTCAATAAAATACAAAATAGGGCTGGGGATGTGGCTCAGTGGTCAAGTGCCCCTGAGTTCAATTCCTGATTTCCACCCTCCCCCCCAAAAAAAAATAAAAAGACCTTCTGGAGCTCAGTGGCCCACACCTGTAACCCCAGAGACTCAAGAGGCTGATGCAGGAGAATCACAAGTTCAAAGCCAGCCTCAGCAATTTAGTGAGGCTCTAAGCACCTTAGTGAGACCCTATTTAAAAAACAAACAAACAAACAAAAAAACCATAAAAATGGCCAGGCATAGTGGCACAGTCCTATAGTCCTGGCTCATTGGGACATTGAAGCCAGGAGGATTTCTCAGGCCTACAAATTCAAGAGCAGCCTAGGCAACCATAGCAAAACTCCATCACATAAGGGGAAAAAGAAAAGTGTAAAATACTGATTTGCTGACTCTATTTGGTGAAGATAGTTAGGCAGAGGATTCTTACTGCAATTTAAATTTCAATTTAAAATTCATGTGATAAATTGTGACAGATGGAACTCACATAATCCAAATCTTTTGAGCTCTTCAATGATAAGAATGTAAAGGGCTGGGCTTAATAATCCTAGCAACTCCTCAAACTGAGGTAGGAGGGTCACATGTTCAAGGCCAGCCTGGGCAATTTAGGAGACCCTGTCTCAAAATAAAAAATAAAAAGAATTTGGGGTGTAGCTTAATAGTAAAGCACCCTCAGATTCAATCCCCAATATTGGGGGAAAAAAGTGTAAAGGGATTCTGAGATGAATCATCTGGAATATTGTAAAACTAAGGAATAAAAGCCCAAGTAAGACTCCTATCAGCACACGTGGCAATACTTTGAATTCTCACAGTTACTCTATGAAATGAAATAAATGTAATTATCCCCATTAACCAGATGAAGAAACAAATGAAACCCCAAAGAGGGAAAGTGATGGCTTAAGTCACATAGCTAGCAAATGCCAGAGCTGGGATTCAAACAGCAGGCATCTGACTTCAAACTTGAGCACCTCGCTGGGAAAAACTCAGCAACACATTTAAAAAGCCTTTAAAAATATTTGTCTCAATGGTGGCATTTGCATCTAAATGGATGGAGTTAGAGAATATTGTGCTAAGTGAAGTAAATCAATCCCCAAAAACCAAAGGCCAAATGTTTTCTCTGATATGTGGATGCGGATCCATAATGGGGGTGGAGGGAGCATGGGAGGAATGGAGGAACTTTGGAGGGCAAAGGGAAGGGAGAGGGCATGGGGGTAGGAAAGATGGTGGAATGAGATGGCCATCATTACCCTAAGTTCATGTATTAAGACAGCAATGGTGTCACTCTACTTTGTACAACCAGAGAAATGAAAAATCGTGTTCTACATGTGTACTATCAATTGAAATGCATTCTGCTGTCATGTATTCAAATTAGAATAAATAAAATTTAAAAATATATTTATCTCACCAGGCATGGTGGATCACTACCCGTTATCTCAGCTACTTTGTGGCGAAGGGCTGGGGATGCAGCTCAGTGGTAAAGTGCCCCTGGGTACCCGAAAAAACATTTTTTCCCCTCGTACTGGGGAAAAAAGAATTACCTCTATTGACCCCTTTAGGAATTTCATATATATATTAGTTGCAGTTGGACACAATGCCTTTATTTTATTTATTTTTCATGTGTTGCTGAGGATGGAACCCAGGGCCTCGCACATGCTAGGCGAACGCTCTAACACTGAGCCACAACCCTAGCCCCCCATTTAATAAAGGAAACGCCATTGGTCCACCCTCACCATTAGCCTAGTCATCAGAGATTTAAGTGCAAGGGTACTTATAATCTAATAAATTAGATACAACCAGTAGTCTGTGATTGAATGATAATGACGATTAAAAGCCTTTGAGTGCACTGCAGAATGCCCAGGAAATGACGCTACCCCGAGAAAGCACAGGAAGACTCTGATAGAAGCCAAAAGGAGGGTGGACTGAGGGATCTGCAAGGCCCAGGCCCGGAGGGAGCCTTTCTGGAGGTCCACGTCCGTAAGCAGGGGGCGAAGTCTAAACCAATGAGCGAAGACTAAGATAATAGCGAGAGTTGGACCAATGGCGACGTATCACACCGTAGTCTAGATGCTGGGCTGGACCGTCCAGCGGCTTGAATGAACTGAAAAAGTCCTTCCCTCCGCTTGTTCAGTAAAGCGCCCGGGGCTTCCTCCACAGGGAGCCAAAGTCAAATACCGGGGAGTTCGGGGGGGCCTCAGTTAAACCCACCTGCCTGCATTGTGAAGCCGGGACAGGGACCTGAAAACCGGGGCGAGGGCCCAGGACGTCCCCCGGAGTCGGATCCTGGACCCGCCCCCTCCCATTCACGCGTGGCGACCACGCCCCCACACGCCGATTGGCTGAGTCTCGTCGGCCCGGCGCCGCGCGGGGAAGACCCGGAGAAGCGCGAGCAGCCTAGGAATGGGTTCCCGCGACCTAGCTGCGCATGCTCGCCCCGTGACCCCTGCTTGAGGTGACTGCTAGAGCCGAGGCCGGAGACCCCCCAGCACCCGCGCGGAGGGACCCGCCGCGGCTCTGTCGCCGGAGAGGGAGGGCACGCTGCGGTCGGTGAGGACGGGTCCCAGAGGCAGGGAGGGGAGGAGACCGCCCCGGAGCATCCCGCCCCACGGATGGACGGCTCTCCGGGGTCCCGGAGCTGCTGTGCTGGGGAAGGGGGGTCGCCGGCTCTGCCGGGTTTCCGGCTGCTCCTTGTCCGACACACGCGATTCGCCTCCTTTCTCCTGGTTCTCCTTCCCCCCAAACCTCCCGACCCGGGACTAAGCCTGGCGCCCCCAAATCGGGGAGCCCCACATCGCCCGCCTTACCCAGCACTGTCCACCCCGCCCAGTGACTGCCCATCCTGCACCCACCCCTGTCCGGTCCCTTCTTCGCGTCTGGTGGTCTGTACAGCGACGGCAGCTAGTAGGAGGCGTGAGGTCTGTGGGCTTCGTCGGGAGGTGGTGGCGTTGGTGGGAGAGGAGCGGGAACCTGTCTTTTGGGCCCAGCCCAAAAGCATTTGACAGCGTTTGACGGCACTCATAGGAATTTCATGAAATCTTTGCCATCAGAAATTTATCTGCATGGGTATTTATAATCTAATAAATTAGATACAACGGGGAAATAAAATTCTGAGCCAAGGGAATTAGGAGAAGGAGTTGCCCTGATTGAAATTCCCATTTTGGGGAAGCTCTACCCTGCATACTACAGTTTTTGACCTTTTGAGGGGAGTCGCTGCCCGTTGTGGGTTTTTGTTGTTGTTGTTGTTGTTGTTGTTGTTTTGTATCAGGGATTGATCCTAGGGGTACTTAACCACTGAACCACATACCCAGCCATTTTTATGTTTTATTTTGAGACAGGGACTCACTAAGTTGCTTAGGACCTCACTAAGTTTGAGCTTGGCTTTGAAATTGCTATTATTCTCCTGCCTCAGCCTCCTGGGTCGCTGGATCTCCCTGTAAGGATATGTCCTGCACACCTAGGTATACCAGCATCCCATCGCCATCCAATCACAGCCCTCTATGGTTGCATTGGACAGTGATTGAGGAGCAGCTGTTGGTATTACCCAGAACTTTTGCAAACATCGACTTTACCCTTCACCTATCCATATAAACAAACCCTACTAAATTCACCACTATTCCCATTACAGATGAAAACAGCCCAGAGAGGGGAAAGCATTTGTCCCTGAGGCTGCAGGTACTGGTAGACCTTGATATTTCTCTTTCATATATATGAAAGTAATTCTCTTGATCCACCTAAGATATCAAACAAAGTGCCAGGCTTCCAGAATCTCCCTGGTAAGGTATTGGACCTTGTATTATTTTCCTATGACTTCCATAACAGATGTAGTGGCTTAAAACAACACATCTTTATTACCTTACAGTTGTAGAGACCAGAAATCTAACACAGGTGTCACTGAGTTAAAATTGGACAGGGCTGTGTCCCTTTCTGAGACTCTAAAGAGAATCTTTTCCTTGCCCTTTTCAGCTTTTAGAAGAAGCAACCTGTGTTCCTTGGCTTGTGACCCTCCTTCCTCTTCTTGAAAGGCACATTTCATCTAGTGGACTCTGCTTCTGTCATCACCTCCCTCTCACTTCTTCTACCCTCTCCCACTTTTTTGGGGGGGAGGGAGTACAGAAGATTGAACCCAGGGGTGCTTAACTGAGCCACATCCCCAGCCATTTTTATTTTGTGTCTCACTAAGTTGCTTAGGGCCTGGCTGAGTTGCTGAAATTGGCTTTGAACTTGTGATCCTCCTGCTTCAGCCTCAGAGCTGCAATATTACAGGCATGAACCACCATGCTTGGCTCCCTCTCCCACTTTTAAGGACTACAGTGATTACATTAGGCCCACAGAATAATCTCTTGCTGAGCAACTTTAACTCCCTTTTGATAAGTGAATTAATATATTCACAGGTTCCAGAGATTAGGATCTGGACACAGACCTGAGGGTGTATGACTCCTGCCAGTTAATAGTGCAGTCTTGGGTTTGGGTCTACACTGAGCCATCTTTATGCTTCTGGGTCTCCTTGCTCATCACACCATGATCCACATCATGAGAGCTGGTTAGTGTAAAGGGGTGCCTGAGTTTCATAGCAATGTCAAAACATCAGATTGCAGAATTGGGAGGGCATAAAATGAGTGAAGTAAAGCAACTGCTAAGCCTTTTGATCCTTTTAATTTGTTTCTCCTTTTTTTTGTTTGTTTTTTAAAAACCAGTGATTGAACCCAGAGGTACTTAACCACTGAGCCACATCCCAGCCATTTTTATCTTTTATTTTGAGACAAGGTCTCACTAAGTTGCTGAGACTGGCTTTGAACTTGAGATCCCCCTGCCTCATCCTCTCCAGCCACAGGTGTGTGCCACTGTGCCTGGTGAGAGTTCCAGTTTCTTCTCATCCCTGCCAACACTGATCTGCCTTTTCTTTTATTGTGTCCATTTAGGTAGATGTGAAATGCATTTCAGTATGGATTTTATTTGCATTTCATAATGCCTGATGATGAGCATCTTATGTATAGGTCATTTGTGTTTCTTCTTTGGAGAAAGGCCTGTTCGGAGCTTTTGCCCATTTTATAATTGGGTCATTTCTTTTTTAATTATTGACTTGTAGTGTTCTTTATAAATTTTAGATTCAAGTTATTTATCAAGTATATAACCTGTAAAAATTTTTCTTCCATTCTGAGTTGTCTTTTAATTTTCTCAATGATTAAAACACAAAACTTGCCAGGTGTGGTGGTGCATGCCTGTAATCCCAGGTGGCTCAGGAGGTTGAGGCAGGAGGATTGCGAATTCAAACCAGCCTCAGCAAAAGCGAAGTACTAAAGCAAATCAGTGAGACTCTGTCAAAAAAAAAAAAAAAAAAACAATAAATTTTTAAAAATTACATTGTGTGGTGGTATGTGTCAATGTGGTAGTACATGCCTTTAATCCCAGCAGCTCAAGAGGCTGAGTCAGGAGGATCACAAGTTCAAAGCCAGCTTCAGCAATGTAGTGAAACCCTGATCAACTAGGTGAGATCCTGTCTCAAAATAAAATATCCCCAAAGGGCTGGGGATGTGGTTCAGTGGTTAAATGCCCTTGGTTTCAATCCCCAATATATTAAAAAAGTTATTTTTGATGTTCTAGGATTGAACCCAGGGCATAAGCACTCTGGGCAAGCTACTTTCCCAGCCCACAAATACTATTAAACTATACACTTTATTCAGATTTCATAAATGTCCACTAATGTCCCTTTTCTGTTCCAGGATCTTATCTGGTATCCCACATTGCTTCTAGTCTGAACTTCTTCTTAGTCTCCTTTCATCTGTGAAGGAGTCAGTTTTCCCTTGATTTTGATGACCTTGACAGTTTTGAAGAATATCAGCTGGGCATCTTATAGAATATCCCTCAAGGTGGGGCTGTCTGGGATTTTCTCATGATTAATCAAGGATGATGCTTTTATTTATTTATTTATTTATTTATTTGGTGCTGGGGTTTAAAACCAGGGTCTTGTGCATGTGAGGCAAGAACTCTACTGAGTGCTGAGCTGTATCCCCAGCCGAAGGGTGATGCTTTAGAGGGAAGGATCACACAGACGTAGGGTGCCCTTCTCCTTATATTGCACCGCCTGTCATCCACACATCCTGTGACCAATGTCCTTCACCAGCTGGTTGAAGTGGTGTCTACCAGGTGTCTCCCCTGAAGAGTTAACGTTTTTTTACTATTCTTTATCTTTGGAAATGAGTCACTAAGGCTAATGACAATCAAGGGAGGAGACTTCAGCTCTACCTCCTGGAGGGGGGAGTATTAGCCTGTACTGTTTAAAAATCTTTTTTTTTTTTTCTTCTCTTTGCTTTTTGAAATGAGATCTCACCAGCTGTGTGCTACTGGCCATTCACATAATTGCCTGAGGCCACTATCCTCCTGGGGCAGAGCAGGGGTGATGGTGACACTTGGAAGGAAGGTCATTGGGTTACAGCAGCGGAGGTCAGGGCTGATGTCATAGCATCTCACTTCTGACTCAGGTCATTTTTGTTCTGGGTGAGTGGGCCCCAGGAGTGGGGTGCACTCTATCTCTTGTCTCTTACCTGCCACCAATTCTCTGTCAATGTGTCTATAATTTTGAAACTTTTATATTGATCTCTTTATTTTTTGTGATGCCAGGGATTGAACCCAGGGCCTCATGTGTGCTAAGCATGAGCTCTATCACTGAGCTACACCCCAAGCCAAATATTAATCTTTCTTTTCTTTCTTTGGTATTGGGGATTAAACCCAGGGGTACTTAACCATGAGCCACATTTCCAACCCTTTTTATTATTATTATTATTAGTAGTAGTAGTAGTAGTAGTAGAACTGGGGATTGAACCCAGGATCTTGTGCATGCAAGGCAAGCACTCTACCAACTGAGCTATATCTCCAGCCCAGCCCTTTTTATATTTTAATTAGTGACAAGGTCTTTGCTAAATTGCTTAGGGCCTGGCCAAGTTGCTGAGACTGACTTTGAACTTGCAATCCTTCTGCCTCAGCCTTCTGAGCTGCTGGGATTACAGGCATGCACCACCACACTTGGCCTTAATCATTCTTTTCTTTTTTAAAAAAAATTTTTTTTGTTGTTGTAGATGAATACAATACCATTATTTTACTTATTTATCTTTATGTGGTGCTGAGGATTGAACCCAGGCCTCACACATGCTAGTTAAGCACTTTACCACTGAGTTACAACCCCAGCCCCAATCTTTATTTTCTTGTATGATATTATATTGTATAGGAACAGAGAACCTTTTCTCTGAGTAATGGACTAATGAAAAACTTAGTTTGTGAGTAAATGTGTCTTATCTTTTCAAATGTTAAATATGTTTCCATTGTAAAATTAGTTCATGCCCCCAAAAAAGTGACCTCATGAAGATTATAACTTTTTTTTTTAAAGAGAGAGAGAGGAGAGAGAGAGAATTTTTTTTTTAAAAGAGAGAGTGAGAGAGAATTTTTAATATTTATTTTTTAGTTCTCAGCGGACACAACATCTTTGTTGGTATGTGGTGCTGAGGATCGAACCCGGGCCACACGCATGCCAGGCGAGTGCGCTGCCGCTTGAGCCACATACCCAGCCCTGAAGATTATAACTTGAGAAAGTAATGGGTCAGTGAAAAATGAAGTTGGTGGTTCCTAGCTGCAGTTGGTTGCCCCCAGCTGCATCCCAGGTCTACTTTCTAGAGCCTCTAACCCCAAAGGCTACCTCCACTGACTGGACTTTTGCCTCCTCCCTTAGGAGAGAGCCCCTGGACTCCCAGGCTCCTGGACAGGGAAGAAGAGGAAAAGAAACCTATTTGCTGAACGCTGAGCGTGGGTGACCTGAGGGCTAGCCTGTTGGTTCCAGGATGTCACTGCCCAAGTCCAGTGATCAGGAGGGCAAGAGTGTGAAGGCTGACCAGGAGCCGTCCCCGGAGGCGAGCACAGATGTCATTCCGGCAGCCCCCAGGAAACCCAGGAAATTCTCCAAACTGGTCCTGTTGACAGCCTCCAAAGACAGCGCCAAAGTGGCTGGGGCCAAGCGCAAAGGAGTACACTGCATCATGTCCCTGGGGGTACCAGGCCCTGCCACCCTGGCCAAAGCCCTCCTTAAGACCCATCCAGAGGCTCAGCGGGCCATTGAGGCAGCCCCTCAGGAGCCTGAGCAAAAACGCAGCAAGCTGGACCCTGGTGAGGCTCTGGGAGCCAGGGATGGACCCTCCCAGAGACAACCTGTTCCCTCTCCTAGTTGCCCCCACACAGCTGGCTCCTTTTCTAAGAATCCCTGCTGCTCCCTCTGCCTTCCTGGCCTCCCTTTCCCTTCTTCCTCTAAGCAGGTGGCATGAGGTTATGGGTGCAGGCCCTGTATCCATGAGGGGCCTAGGACCCTGCCTTGGCCCCAGCGCTGTGAGGTAGTCTTGTCCCTCCAAGATCTGTACCTTGCTGTACCACAAGTGTCTGAGCTGGAGGTGGGCCTGACACCATGCTGCATGTGGGAGAAAGGGGGCTGCTGCTTGTTCTTAAGACCTTGAATGCAGGGTGAGCATCTCTAATGGCCTGGACTTCTTGGTCCATCCTCCATACATTCTAGAAAGTTCCTTCATTTCTTCAGTCAGCTGCTTCATTATTATTTCCTGAGCAGCAGCTGAGTGCCCACTGGGTGCTGGGACTTAGGGAGGCCAGCAGACCAGGCTAGGTGGTCTTATGCCAGCCTCTCCAGCCTGCCTTCCCCTTTTTGCCTCTCTTGCTCTAGCCACCTGCTCCCTGGATCCTCTAGGAAGGACAGCTGAGGGCTTCCAGGGCCATGAGGCCAGGGAGGGACCTTAGTGGCTGAAGCCTGGCTAAAGGGGAGCAGGGCTGACTGGGCAGTCTCACTGCCCTCTTGCTTTGGAGTGACAGGATGACAGGACAGAACAAGTCAGGCAACTTTGGCCCCATCCCCACCCCCACCCACCTATGGCTCTGCTCCTGTGTGGGTTTTGGACAGAAATAGCAGGCAGGGATATGTCCGGGTGGGGAGTGCAGTGGAGGGCAGGTGGCCTCTTACTCTGCAGCCAGTTCAGACTTGTCACAGTGTAGGTTCCCAGCATCCATGAGTGCCTCAGGGCTGTAGGAGCAGCAAGGTTGGGGTCAAAAGCTCAGGCAACAGGAAATTGGCTAGGGTCAGTGGGTGCTGATGGGTGTCCTCTGAAGAAGGGTGGGAGGCTAATCCTGGGGCACTCAGAATGTAGGGGCAAAGGGGGGGATATTAAGGTGGGCCAGAGGCTATGAGATGCACTTACAGAAATCAGGGTGTTGGGACAAGTTTTGGGCCAGGAGGACCCACCTGTCAGTCCACTTGTCTCCCAATGTCACTGGGGCTGGTGAAGGACCCCAGGCTAGCAATACATGGGATGCCCAGCAAGGGCCACCAGGTAAGACCCCCATGGAGCTGGAAATTCCCTGGCAACTGGGCAGATAGGCTGGTTAGGATGATTAGAGAGTGTGCCTTTGTCCTGGCACATGCTGGTGCTTGGGCTGAGGCCATTTCTGTGCATATATTGTGTGTGAGTCACTGCCTACATGAACATCTCTGTGTTTGTCTATTTCTGTCTTTCTTTGTATTTGCCTAGGGGTGAGTCAGTGTGGGTCTATGTTTCTGTGTTAGTCTGTGAGGACTCCAAGCAGATCCACAGCGCCCCCCCCCAGGCTTAGTGCAAATGTAAGGACCCAAAGTCATCTTTTGAGAACAAATTTTGAAGAGTACTCCAGGGGAGTGCCCAGTGGATGTGTTTCTTCTCAGTTGGAAGTGGGGTCTGCCATGCCCTGAGAAGAAGAGGACAATAAAGCCATAGTCCTGGGCCTTGGTTTGCTGCCTCTGAACAGGTGGCCTTGGGCTCTACTAGAGCACTCACCTGACAGTCAGGCTTAAGGAAAGGAGGGGCCCTTGGATTTTCATCAGTTACCTGAACAGTTCAAGGAACCGTTCATTGATGGATATTTATGGGAAGAGGCCTGAGGTCAGAGGCTATTGCTGTCCCAGGCCACAGCCCTGGCGGGTATCCCAGCACTGAGGCAGTGCTGGAGAGAGGAATCCTGGGCCCCTGAGCTTCTAGCCCCGCTGCAGCATGCCAGCTCCCATTAGCCAGGCCTGCTCTGAGTGCTTTCATGTATCCACCATATTCCTGCCAGTCTAGGTAGAGGCTGGGCTCACAGGGGCTAAGTCATTGCCCTGAGACCACCTCTTGTCACTGCTGATACTGGGCTCCTGTGGAATCTGTTCTTCCCACTGAGCTGTGTAGGATGGAGCCATCTTGAGGGTCCTTCCAACCCATTTGAGACTGCTGCTTTACCATTCTCTCCTGTTGTCCAGGCTCTAGGGTCCTCTGTTTTGTGGGAATTGGAATGAAGTCCCATTTCTTCAGATGAAGGGCTGCACTCAGTGGCAGGGCTCCCTTAGGCAGGCATTCTCTTGGAGAATGACCCCCAGCTCCTGACACTCCTCCTTCCCTGCAGACTTCCCCATCTCTGCACAGCCCAGCCCAGGCGGTAAGGATGGCGGTGTCTTACTCCCACTCAGCCCAGGTTCCTGGAAATGATTTTAACAGTTTTTGTGTCCCTGGGCTAGTGACTTTTGGGAGCAGTGGCCCTGAGGTGACAATTTTTTCCCTAAGTCAGCCAGCAGAGGCTTCTGGCCAGAAATAACTTCTGGACAGAAATAGCCAACAAGGCCAGGGGCCTCCAACATGCTTAGACCCCTGGACGCCCAGGTCCAGCCCTTCCCATCCCATCCCTTGTCCTTTGCCACCAGCCTGATCACCCACCTCTTTTCCAGACACAGGCAGCAAAGAAGACAGCGGATTTGCAGCCATGGATCCCGCTGGGCATGGGGAGCCAGCTGCCGCCTGCCCTGCTACACCCAGTGCGTCCTTGTAACCTTGGCAACGTGGCTACAGCTGCTGCGTCTTCACTGCCAAGGATGGGTGGTTCTACTAGTCCACAAGACTTCCCAGGCCAGGTCGTCGGGGGATTTTCACTTTCAACATTGTGTAATTTTTAAAAAATTTTACATCAAGCCTAAGTTACTTTTGTAAGGAGAAAAAAAAAATCAAAAGGAGAATTTAAAAGCTGTATACTATTACCCATCATGGACAGGTTTTAAACGTGCCAGGATTCGAGTCCTTGGAGACCAGCTCCAATCCCACCACCCTTGGGCCCGCTCTCCCCCACCAGCCTTCACCTGGCCCTGCCCCATAGCTGCTTGGCCTGGGCCATCAGTCCAGGGACTCTACTGGGGTTTCCAACCCCCAGGCCTCACCTCGTTTGCCTCCTCAGGCTGGAAAACCAGCTACTGACCATAACCAGGTAGAGCCCCTGAGGTTTCCCCTTCCTGCTGCCTTGTTTTGAAGGGATCAATGGGAGCTCTGCCCCATGTCTGATATCACCAGACCCTGGATGCTGCCTGACCCTTCCCCCAGGGAACCTCAGACTTCTGCCTGCTGGGTCTGCACAGGGTACGCCTCAGTCACTGCCCTTCCTCAGGAAGCCTCCCAGATGTGGCTCCCAGCCACTGAGCCCACCCTTCCAGGCCTGTACTGAGGAAGGGATGAGCTTGCAGCTCCTGGGGTCTGGAAAGGATCCTGACAAAAGTGCAAAGTGCCCTCCTATGATCTTTTCAGGTGATTGGGGGCTGAGGAGACTTCCTGGAACCTGAGCCCCTCCCCAAACTCATGGGGGCTGCCCTGCTAGAGGGGAGATGAAGGAAACACAGTTACCCTCCTCAAGGAAATAATCAGACACAGAGCAGACCTCCCACTGTCCCCTCCAGAGGCTCCCAGAGTACAGTGAGCAACATCTACCCCTGAGTTAGAGGCTCCTAGAGTCCCCAGGGCCAAAGCTTCAGCCTCCAGACCCTTCACCTCGCGGTCCTTATTTGAAAATTGCCTCTAGGCATAAGAAATCATTTTTAAAATGCAGGCTGTAGCAGCCTTGTGTTTGTAAACATTTATTCAAAATTAACTAGCATTCTAGGTGTAGTGATGAAGGCCTGTAATCCCAGTGACTTGGTAGGCAGGAGGATCACAAGTTTAAGGCCAACCTCAGCCAATTTAGCAAGACTCTGTCTCGAACTAAAATCAAAAGGACTGAAGATGAGCTGAGCCTGATGCTACACTCCTATAATCCTTGTGACCTGGGAGGCTGAGGCAGGAGGATCACAAATTCAAGGCCAGTCTCAGCAATTTAAAAACGACTGGAGATGCAGCTCAGTGGTTAAGCACCCCTGGGTCCAATCCTCAGCACCCTCCCCTGCCAAAAAAAATTAAAGAGCATCAATTGCCTCTATCAGGAAACACGTTACTTTCCATTTTACTTTTATAACATTGTAACATTTTTATTCCGTTCTGTGACTATAATTTGGAAATTTCTTTTGTCTTCATTCTATATTCAAATAAGAGTCCACTATGGTTTCTCCTTTCCTGGGTGCTCATCATTGTCTGGTTTTGTCGGATGATAAGAATGCCTTTGGGGACTGGGGCCAGAGCTCAGAGCATTTGCCTAGACTGTATGAGACCCTGGGTTCATCCCCCAGTACTCCCCCCACCAATAAAAAAAAAAAGAAGAAGAAGAAGAATGCCTACAGAAGATCTGGGAGGTAATCCCAGAGAAGCAGGAGTGGGGAGGAGGAGGGGCCGAGGCACCTGACCTAATGGCCAGCCTCCTGTGGCCTCTTGAGAGAGCCATCACCTCACAGTCCAGGCTAGGGCGGGTTAGAGAGAGTGGATTCCCTCACTCTGCCTGCAGGACAGTGACTGCACAAAAGTCCCCTCCTTTGGACTTTGGGAGGCAACAAGGCAGTCTTAGGGGCTGTGTGGAGCACCAGAGTGAGAGGCACTTTTGAAGGTCCTGTGAGGTGCCATTGGGGGCAGCAAGGGCACACATGGGGCCAAAATAGGTAGGCAGAGCTGGTGATTAGGGAGTGACCCAGTACTGGGGAGCTGAGAGGAACCAGAAGCTTATGTACTGGGTCAGGCAAAGTAAATTTTGGTTTACTTATGTTTTTACTTTTAAAAAATTGAATATGTAAAAGCTGCAGGATGAGTACAGTGAACAACATCTAGCCCTCACCTGGACTCCCTCCCCCCACTCCCCTTTTTCCAAACATTTAAATACAGATTGCAGGGGGGCTGGGGATGTGGCTCAAGCGGTAGCGCGCTCGCCTAGCATGCGTGCGGCCCGGGTTTGATCCTCAGCAGCACCACATACCAACAAAGATGTTGTGTCCGCCAAGAACTAAGAAAAAATAAATAAATGTTAAAATTCTCTCTCTCTCTGTCCCCCTCTCTCTCTCACTCTCTCTTTAAAAATAAATAAATAAATAAATAAATACAGATTGCAAACAATGAATCCTTCAGTGTACACCTCTGAGCTCCACCTTCCCTGTCACTCTCAGGATCACAATAGATAGTGCATGTAAAAGAATCTCCATTGACTCAGTGACATCATCCAACCCCCAGCTCCTACTAAATTCCCCAGGCAGGCCCAGGACAGTCCTTACCTTACCTTTGCTGCCCACCACTGGGCTGCCTCCCAGTCTTATTTATTTATCTATGAATCTATTTATTTGGGGTACTAGGGATTTTTATTTATTTTTTAGAGAGGGAGGGGGGGGAGAGAATTTTAATATTTATTTATTATCGGTGGACTCAACATCTTTGTATGTGGTGCTGAGGGTCAAACCCCGGGCCGCGCACATGCCAGGCGAGCGCGCACCGCTTGAGCCACATCCCCAGCCCGGTACTAGGGATTTAACTCAGGGGCACTTTACCACTGAGCTACATCCCCAGCACTTTTTATGTTTTATTTTGAGACAGTGTCTCACTAAGTTGCTTAGGGCCTTGCAAAATTGCTGAGGCTGGCTTTGAACTTTCGATCCTCCTGCTTTAGCCTCCTGAGTTGCTGGAATTACAGGTGTGTGCCACTATGCCCAGCTCTTCATTTTTCTGCACTGACCTGCAGATGGCTGGCTACTGGGAGAGACAGAGACCCCTACTCTTTGATGCCCACCAAGATAAACTCCGACACAAGTTACAGCCCTCCTTCTTGCTTTATTTTCTGCATAGCACATACCAGTTTCTAAAACCATGCATCTCATGGTTTGCTATGCCTATTGCTTCTTGGTACCCCCCCGCCCCGCCCTCTCACCACACCGCCCAGTAACATAAGCTTAACACCACCAGGGAAAGGATTTTTGTTGATTTGGTCCCTGAAGTTCCCAGTGTGGAGAGCAGGTAGAGACGGGGAGCCAGCTGGAACAGAAGTGTGAAGGAGGTACCGAGCTTGCTGGATACTTGGGGTACAGATTCCAGGTCGTGGGGCGCGAGGAGGGGCTGCAGGTTCAATTGGTGTGTAGGTTGGAGAAGACACAGAGGGTTGTGAGGGGTGGGATGGGATGAGGTGGGGTGGAGGAGGACTAGCCCTGAAAATCCAGAGGATGTGAAAGGATGCCAAAAGGAAAGGACCCCACGGAGGACGCAGGATGCGGGAAGACTTAGGAAGTGGCGATAGTCTTCCCATCCTGAGACCTGGGCCTCAGCCCTCTTGGAGTCCCAGGTCACTTCCAGCCTCAGCGTTGGAGCCGGGGAGGGGCGGGAAGGAGCGCCGCGGGGCCTGCAGTTGGGAGTCTTCCAGGGAGGAGTAGCGTCAGCGCCCGGCACTGCGGAGGTCGCGCAGCTTGAAGCAGGAGGCTCTCAGCAAGGAGGAGGGACTTGGATGTGGCGCCGCCAAGTGTCCCAGGAAAGCACCTCCGGGAGCTATCCCGTACCCTGGGCACCCGGCGGCTGGGAGTTGCTGGAGGATGACGTGGGTCGGTGTCGGTACACGGCGGAGGCAGAGAGGACCGATGAGCGAGGGCTGGACCAATGGGCGAGGGCTGGACGGGTGAGCTAGGGCTGAAACCACGAACGAAGGCTGGCCCAGTGGGCGAGGGCTAGACCAATGGAGGGGGCTGGACCAGTGAGCGAAGGCTGGACCAATGGAGAGGGCTGGATCAAGGGCGAGGGCTGGACCAGTGGACAAGGGCTGGACCCAGGGGTGGACCTGTGGGCGAGGGCTGCACCCGTGGGGAAAAGGCTTTTCTGCTACCAAAAGGCTGAAAGTCTAGCGAAGGTGATTTTTTTCCCCCCTGACCTATATTTTGAGCTGATTTTACACCTACCCAGAACATTCCCCAAATGTCAAGAATGACCTCGGACTTAGCAGCAATATTTCTTTCTTTTTTAAATGTCTTATGATTTTATGTGGTGCTGAGGATCGAACCTAGTACCTCACTCTTGCTAGGCAAGCGCTCTACCACTGAGCTACACCTCCGGCCTCTGTAGTGATATTGCTAATAGGAAAATAACTAAATTAGGTAGCCAGTCCTATATAAAATACATTATACCTCGGGAGGAAGTTTACAATAGAGAGTTAGGTATAAAAAAGCAGGAACATAAAAAATTATTTCAATGATCTCAACGATGCAAGATTAGATTCATTATCAAAAAGATTTATCAGAAAGAGGAAATCTGGAAACTCAAAGTACCCAGAATAGGTAATCTAGAAATGAACAAGGGCTGGGGGGGGGGCGGGGGGATCAGTAGTAGAGTGCTTGCCTGGCACGTGTGTGGCCCTGGGCTCCCATCCCAACACCCAAAAATAAAACAAAATTTTAAAAGAATGACCAAGTGGGCTGGGGATGTGGCTCAAGCGGTGGCGCGCTCGCCTGGCATGCGTGTGGCCCGGGTTCCATCCTCGGCACCTCATGCAAACAGAGATGTTGTGTCCGCCTAAAAAATAAATATTAAAAAAAAAAAAAAAGAATGACCAAGTTGTAGACTCACACTCCCCAGGATATTTACTATTAATTGGTACTGGGAATTGAACCCAGGGGCACTTTATCAGTAAGCTACATCTCCAGACTTTTGTATTTTTTATTTTGTGTCTGGGTCTCCCTAAGTGATTGAGGCTGGCCTCCAACTTGCAATCCTCCCGCCTCAGCCTACTAAATTTCTGAGATTTTATACCTAACACCTGGGAGGCAATGCTGGGACACTTACATGGGGGGAGGATTTTCAACAAATAGTACTGGGACTACTGGAATATCTATGGGAATGTTCTGGGTAGGTGTAAAATCAGTTCAAAATATAAGTCAGGGAAAAAAAAGAATGAAGAGCTCCTTCATATAATATACAAAACAAAACTTTTGTGATTTGAAAGACATCTCAACTGGAGCGATAAAGTGAAGAGATAACCCAAGACATGGAGGTGAGAGTTGCAAATAATACATTTGACCAGGGTCATATATCTAGAATATATAAAGAATTCTCCCAGACAAAATAACAACCCAATTAGTATATGGGCCAAGGTTCTGAACAGATGATCTGGGAATACCCAGACTAGTTTTGAGAACCCTTCCTCTACTGTAAAATTAGTATTTCCCCATTGTCATTGATAAGTACATTTTGTTAGATATTTTGCATTATGTACATACTTGTTCTTATTAAACTTTCATTCTCCATTCTTGGTGACCATTGATGATTTTTGCCTGAATTAGTTATTAGCATAATGAATGTCAAATAGTAATTTTCTGCATTACTTTTTTTTTTTTTTTTTTGGTGGGGAGGAGCACCAGGATTGTACCCACTGTCTCTAGACGAATCTCTAGCCCTTTTTATTTTGTATTTTAGACAGGGTCTCACTAAATTGCTGAGGCTGGTCCTGAACTTGCTATCCTCCTATCTCTGCCTCCTGAGTTGCTGGAATTACAGGTGTGCGCCAATGAGCCTGGCCCTGCATTATTCTTCCTGAATTTTAAAATTGTTTTTCTGCCATAAGAAAAAAATATTCTCTCCCATTTATTCACCTAGAAAAGCAACCCGTGGATTATTTTATTTAAGGTTATAATCTGTTACTAATGTTATTTATTTATTTTTTATTTTGGGATCTCCTCCTGCCTTAGCCTTCAGAGTTGCTGGGATTACAGGTTTGCGTCACTGAATTTGGCTGATTATTTATTTTGAAGATCAAATTGTCCTGGATTTGGGGTGGGGACCTTTTAGGCTTAAATGAGGTGCATAAGAAATTTCTTTCCACTGGCTCAGGAAAGCGACAAGCCTAGGTATGTATTTACAAAAAACGCCCCACTTATATCAGCGCAGAGTCAAATTCTGGGAAGATCCAGAGCTTTCAATCAAACCCATTTGCCCCGCCCCTTTGCGTGGAGGGAGCCCTGCCCCTTGGTGCGATCTCCCAATCCCAGGATGGTCTTGCCTCTTTCGTGCAAAGGGCCACGCCCCTACAAGCCTATTGGCCAGGCCATCAACTCAGCGGCGCGCCGGGAAGACCCGGAGAAGTGGAATTTGCCCACGAAACGACTCCGTGGCTTTACTGCGCATGATCGCTAGGAGCCCGTTTGGGCATTCGGAGAGGCCGGCTTCCCCGCGGGGTCGCGCGCGCGGGCACGGGGCTCGCTCCCGAAGGGGCAGGTTGGGCGGGGAGCGGGCGCTGGGGTCGTGTTGGCCGGAGGGGACTGGGCCTCCAGGTCGACGCCTGCGGCTGCCGCGGCCGAGACCGAGGGACCCGCCGCGGCTCCGTCGCCGGAGAGGGAGGGCCCG